ACTATTGCATGAGTAGGTAGAAATTCTGGGAGTTGATGTCCACATATCTTAAAGTAGATGAGCTTGAGAAATATTATTGTAGTCCAAAGCAACTTGAATATTCACTTTTAAGTTGACCATCATCGTGAGATAGATTTTGGATCCTTGAGGACTACATGTTCAGAAGTAGCAAATATATCAATACCTTCTGAAAAAATGACTCTTTTACATAAATCTTTGAGAGGAGGGAAAAGATACATTTACTTACATTTTGTATTTGCTTTAAAATGTTATACCTGTTTCTCTGAGCATATTCTGGATACGGGCTCACTCTGCTTGTAATAATTTACCATTCTGAGCAGAAAGGACATTTATCGATAAGTATAAAATGCGGGCTTATATTTTATAATAGATTTGAAATCAGCAGCAAACGTTAGTTATGGTGCGTACTTTTTGAATCATAACGTCAAACTTAAAATATGATTTTCACAAGCTCCTGATATATTTATGAAATGCTATAAATGAAAGGCAAGAGTTATAGTAGGGTTAGTTCAATTTGCTTTTTAAATTTACTCCATTTGGAAGTTTTACCCATTCCCAGAAAGGGGGGGGGGGGAAAGCACTCTCTCTTTTTTTTTTTTTTACTGTGAATGACAAGTAAATAGACCCATGATGGCGAACCTATGGCATGCGTGCCACAAGTGGCATACAGAGCCATTTCTGTGGGCACGCAAACATTGCCCTAGCTCAGCTCCAGCACACATGAACATGCCGGCCAGCTAATTTTCTGGCCTTCCGGGCCCATCATTTCCAGCCTCTGGAGGGCCTCCGGGGGGCTGGGGAAGGCCGATTTCGCCCTCCCCAGGCTCCAAGAAAGCCTCTGGAGCCTGGGAAGGGCAAAAAACAAGCCTACTGGGCCAGTGGTGAAATCTAAAATTTGTTACTACCAGTTCTGTGGGTGTGGCTTGGTGGTGGTGGGGTAATGTGACTGGGTGGGCGTGGCCATTTTTTTTTTTACTTTTAAAACCATTTTTTACATGTAAAACCATGTTAAAAAATGCTTTCAAAAGGCTCTGATGATCCCAGCTGAGTTGCCTGATCGTCAGAGGGTTTTTAAAAAACCCTCTGCCGATCAGGCAACTCAGCTGGGATCGTCAGAGTTTGGATCATCAGAGCCATTTAAAAGGAAAAAACTTTTTTTCTTTTAAATGGCTCTGACGATCCCAGCTGAGTTGCCTGATCGTCAGGCAACTCTGCTGGGATCATCAGAGCTTGGCTCGTCAGAGCCATTTAAAAGAAAAAAAGCCTCTGATGATCACGCGGCTCAGCTGGGCATGGGAGGTGGGGGTAGGGATTTTTGCTACCTGTTCTCCGAACTGCCCGCCGCCATCACTACCTACTTGCCCGAGCCGGTCCGAACCAGGAGCATTTCACCCCTGTACTGGGCCCACCATGCCATCGCGTGCCAAAAGCGGGGGGAGCGCGGGGGGTGGGGCGCATTGAATTATGGGTGTGGGCATGGATGCGCACAACCCCCTCTACTCCCCCCCGCTTTTGGCACACGATGGCAAAAAGGTTAGCCATCACTGAAATAGACTGATAGGATCATACCTAGAAAAACTTAATAGAAAAGCAATGTTTTTTTTCTTCAGCAATGAAAAGACAGGGCACACCAGCTTTTGGTGTTCCATATCTTCTGATAGATTTAGTTTCCATAACGAGCTTTGCCATCCATAAATCTTTAAAGTCTTTGGTGATGGTTACATGTATTCAAGTTTTCTATAACTGAAATTGAAGTCGGAGCTTTGCAAGGGATCCTAAGCTTATATAAATAAGCACAAACGTATCTGTTTATTCCAACTCCCCAGCATTATTTATAGCTTCTCTGTATCTCTGTTTATGCAGGGGAATAAATAGGCTGTCAGGAGCTGGACATGAGCTAACAGTTGTCTACAAGAAGAAGCATTCCCTAGTGCCCTGTTAGGCTTAGAGCAGCATATAAATTGCAGTAAACAAATATATAATCATATATCAAACTGACTGCTACTTGGAAAGATAAACAAATTCAGGTGTCTTTTACTTACTTTTCCCATCTCTTTTTTCTGGAATATTTTTTTTTCTTTCTTCCCTTTCCTTGGACCTTTTTTGCTGCATACTGTTTTTTTTTTTTTTTTTTTTTTTTTTTTGTCCCAAAGGTGCTTTTTCAGTAAGTAAGTAAAAGACACCTGAATTTGTTTATCCTTCCAAGTAGCAGTCAGTTTGATATATGATATACTAGCTGGATCCTCGTGCTTTGCTATAAAACGATGTGATCAGGCTTGATAAATCGGCATTTACAGCTTGAATCCTTCCCTATCCTATCCCCTTCTCTCCCTCAGGCTTTCTAGCCCCTTCTCTCCCTCAGCCTTGCCCCACAGAAGCCTCTCCTCTCCTCTTCTCTCCCTTAGGCTTTCTAGCCCCTTCTCTCCATGAGGCTTGCCCCACAGAAGCCTCTCCTCTCCCCTTCCCACAGGCTCTAGTCCCTTCTCTCCATGAGGCTTGCCCCACAGAAGCCTCTCCTCTCCTTCTCTTCTTAGCCTTGCCTACAGAAACGCCTCTATCCTATCCCCTTCTCTCCCTCAGGCTTTCTAGCCCCTTCTCTCCATGAGGCTTGCCCCACAGAAGCCTCTCCTCTCCCCTTCTCTTCTTAGCCTTGCCTACAGAAACGCCTCCTATCCTATCCCCTTCTCTCCCTCAGGCTTTCTAGCCCTTCTCTCCATGAGGCTTGCCCCACAGAAGCCTCTCCTCTCCTCTTCTCTCCCTTAGGCTTTCTAGCCCCTTCCTCTCCATGAGGCTTGCCCCACAGAAGCCTCTCCTCTCCCCTTCTCTTCTTAGCCTTGCCCTACAGAAACGCCTCCTATCCTATCCCCTTCTCTCCCTCAGGCTTTCTAGCCCCTTCTCTCCATGAGGCTTGCCCCACAGAAGCCTGTCCTATGCTATCCCATTCTCTCCAGAGTTATTTTCAAGTTGGGAGGGGGAGTAGAAGTCTAACTAATTAGCATCAGAGCGTGTTATAATAATATAGGAAATACGAATGCTCTGATGGTCATTTCAAAAAATCCTTTCTTAGTGAGCACCAGTAATGGGTTCCTCCCGGTTCGGCCCAGTTCCGCCGAGCCTGTAGCGGTGACGATATGACATCACCGAACCTTTCCCAGCTGGGAAGGTTACAAATGGTGATCACAGGACCCCGGGACAGTGCCACAGTCATAAATACATGCCGGTTGCCAAATGCTCAAATTTTGACCACATGACCATGAAAATGCTGCAAAGGTTGTAAGCGTGAAAACCGTTCATAAGTCACTTTTTTCAGCATTGTGGTAACTTTGAATGTGACTAAATGAATGGCTATAACTGGAGGGATACTTGTTCACTCCAGCCAATTAACTTAAGACGAAGATATTCCTCCTTAATGAAGAGGTATCCATAACATAGAAGGCTATGGAAACTGTATCTCTTCGAAGTATAGATCCGTGATGGCGAACCTATGGTGAAGCGGGAAAACCCACTTTCCCAAATGCAGGAGACAAGACCACAAAAGTTGGAGAACACAGGTTTATTTGCTAGCAAAGGTTCGGAGCATTCACATGTCAGATTCCGAACCCTGGGCTACGCCCAAGGTGTACCTTTTATACATTTTGCAATTCTAGCCACGCCAGAGGCGTTACGCTTCTGACTCTATTTCCATATATGGATACTATCTTACACAGTCTGTTACTTTCCATGAACACTTCTGCTAATATGTTTCTTAATATAAGTTCGTTACAGAGATGATATAGAACATAGGTCATTAAACTCATCGGTACATTTAACAAGTTCCTTATTTCTGTTCCTTGTACTTTCCTGAAGTTTGCAACATAACTTCCAAAGTCAGTACCTCAGAAAAGAATATAATACTGTGCATGATACAGTACTTATATTAATATGATTTATAGTATAAGACCCTTCCGTTTCAATGGCACACGTGTCACAGGTGGGACACGGAGCCATATTGCTGGGCACGCGAGCGTTGCCCTAGCTCAGCTCCAGCACACATGCGCGCATTGGCCAGCTGATTTTTGGGCCTTCTGGGCCCAACAGAAGTCGGCAAATGGGCTGTTTCCGGCCTCCGGAGGGCCTCCGGGGAGGTGGGGAAGGCTGTTTTTGCCCTCCCCAGGCTCCTAGAAAGCCTCTGGAGCCTGGGGAGGGCAAAAAAATGGGCCTACCGGGGTCACCATGCCATCACATGCCAAAAGTGGAGGAAGCATGGGGGGGTCATACACACATGCATGGGGTGGGGCAGGGCGCATAGAATTATGGGTGTGGGCACACACACACACACACGATCACCCCACACTCCCCCAGGTTTTGGCACGCGATGGCAAAAAGGTTAGCCATCACTGGTATAGATGATTTAATAGCATAAGCAATAGCACTTACAGTAGACGTATACACTGCTTCATAGGGCTTTACAACCCTCTCTAAGCAGTGTACAGAGTCAGTGGCAGGCTTGAAGATCCAATGCAAAGATGGCTTCCAGGCTTGACAGTCAGCATATTTCCTCTCCAACAATCTGAGTTCTCATTTTACCGACCTCGGAAAGCTGGAAGGCTGAGTCAACCTTGAGCCAGTCAGAATTGAACTCCTGGCAATGATAATGCTGGACAGCATTACTTGGTCTGTTGTGTGGATGTTTGGGTAGTTTAGGGGTGGGGAATTGTGGTGGGTGGGAGAGTGTTTGGGGATTGTTATGTGTGTTGGACTTGGTCTTTGGGTGTTAAGTGAATTTCATTGTAAGGGTATACTGTATACACGTACAATGACAATAAAGTTGTTATTATATTATTAAGAGTTGGCTTCCAATACTCCATTGTAACTACTGCGCCGCCGCCGCTATAATAGGTTAGAGCTGTTAAAATAACTCACCTTATTTATTGCTCCTTAGATTTAGGTTGTTGCACTTCCTGTTTGTTCATTATTTCTTCTCCTTTTGCTGCTTGTAGGAGCTGGTGGGAAGCAATCCTCCGCAAAGGAACTGGAAAGGAATTGCAATTGCTCTACTTGTGATTCTGGTTATCTGCTCCTTGATTGTCACTTCTGTTATCTTGCTGACACCAGGTATTTATATAATCTTTAGCCTTTGTTGATGTTATTGTTCTAATTCCAGAATCTTCCCAAAGGCATTTTAAAAAGGTCTGATTATATTCCGTTGGGCTGAAAGATCAATCCTGTGATGAGATACTCTAAGTCCTGTTTTTTTGAGTCCTGTTAATCTTCAATAAAAGGTTGGATTTGGTTTTTTTTTTTAAAAAAAATAATATCAGGAATATACATGCGTATATCAAAGAATGGTAGGCATCCATATCCTACATAAAAAGAACTGCTCAAGTGAGATAGCAACTAATCTTCCCCACAGAGGTCATTCTCAACTTATAACCACAATTGGGTCCCGAATTTCAATCATAAGTTGTTAGGGTCATAAGTCGAGACACACACATATGACCAGCCCCAGTTTTTAAATTTGTTTTTGCAGTGATCATTTAGCAAATAACACAATCATTAAAATAATCCATTCTTCGAATGGGTGGGGTATTTCCCCCCCAAAAAAAAACTGGCAAAAAAAAATTACAAATTCTGTTCATGTGACTAGAAGGCACTGCAACCAACTGTAAATGTGGGCCAGTTGCCAAGTTGAAATGCAATCATGTGACTACAGGAGGATAACACAATTTTTATGTATTTATTACATTTGTTTATTACGTTTTATTTATTTATTTTATATATATTTGCTATCCATCTCGTCACAGGTGATTCTGGGCGGCTTATGTTGGCTGAAAGTGTATTGCAGGCCATAAAGTCCTAATTTTTGAGGCTTTTTATAAGTCCAAACAGTCATTAAAAGATTAATTGTAAATCAAGGGTTACCTACATATTCAGTTGTATTGCCAAAACAATGACTTACAAAACTCAATTGACATATTCAGGGCCGTAAAGCAAATTGCCTTCCATTTAATGAAGCCATTTGTGCATTTAGTGCAATTGATGGTAATTCCTTAGATTCTATGACGGAGTGTTTTTTTAGCATCTATCCTCCGCTTCTTCACATTGGAAAAAGGCAGAATTGGAGATTGGATCCACTAAAGCAGGTGATCTGCCACCAAATTGTCATCTATGGGGTGATTCTTGGAAGATTTCGTTTTATGATTGGTCAGTAGCACTCATTTATACAGGGATTCTCCAACTTGGTAGTTCTGCAACCTCTTGCAATGATAAATGAACTATTGATGCTCTCCCTAAGCAATTTCATTAGCGCTAAGAATGGGGCAGTGGTGAAATGCAGCCGGTTCTATCAGGCTCGGGCGAACTGGTAGCGCCGGTGGCGGGAGGCTCCACCCACCCAGCCAGACGTCATCACATCCCATTTTTTATGTTCTGCACATGCGCAGAAGGTCCTGCGCTTGCGCAGAGGTGTCACGCACAAGCAAAGCGAGCGAGCGCACTCCTATTTGCAAACTGGTAGCGAAGGTAAGTGGATTTCACCCCTGGAATGGGGATAAATAAACACACTTACCAAGTTCAATAATATGTCAGTGTATCTAACAAAAATCACAGAGACACCCTGCCATATCACAAACAAGAGAAAAAAGTTGAAAGTTGAACTACTCGGTGAAAAGAATGTCTGAAGTCCAGCAGTATCTTTAAAACTCCACTCTATATTCACTCTGGAATAACATTTGCTGTCTGGAGCAACAGTTGCAGAAAAGGTCCACGTTTTTGCTGCCCAGGATGAGTGAAGGTAAATGCCAGCTGCACTCAAGCACTAGGCTGCATGCTATGCAGGTAGTCCTTGACTTACAACAGTTCATTTAGTGACTGTTCAAAGGGACAACAGCACTGAAAAAATTGACTTATGACCGTTTTTCAGGGTTACAATCGTTGTAACATCTCCATGATCACGTGATCAAAATTCAGATGCTTGGCAATTGGTTCATGTACTTATGACCGTTGCAGTATCCCAAGGTCACATGATCTCCTTTTACAATCTTCTGACAAGCAAAATCTATGGGGAAGCCAGATTCACTTAACAACCGGGTTACCAACTGCAGTGATTTACTTAACAACCATGGCAAGAAAAGTCATAAAATCGGGCACTTAACTAATGTCTTAACTTAACAACAGAAATGTTGGGCTCGATAGTGGTAGTGAATTGAGGATGACCTGTACTTATTAGGTCTGGATCCCTGCAAGACTATATGGGAGCCGTATAAAATCATGCTCCAGGCCTTTTCCCCTCCTCCATCTGGAAGTGATTCGATTCTAGGGACATGTACCATGGACACCCAGAGCTGAATCCCTCAACATCAAATTGAAATCCTGTAATGGCATGTAACAAAGACCTTGGAATACGAAGCACAAAGATGCTGTCTAGACCAGGGGTCTCCAACTTGGCAACTTTAAGCCTGGAGGACTTCAACTCCTCCAGGCTTAAAGTTGCCAAGGTTGGAGAGCCCTGGTCTAGGGAACGATCAGATACACTTACATAATGGGTGGAGAAAGGCTCAGAACAGACCCTCCCTAACTTCTCAGACTGTCAGAGTGATGGTAGGAGATTTGTACTTTTAGACTTTTCAAGGTTCTATTAATGTAGCCTTATAGTAAAGTAGAATTAGCTCATGTGGCCATGTTTCCATCTGGTTTGCTTGGGAAGACTGATCTTCATTTTGCAAGTCTCATTTTCTCTCTTCCAAAGAGAAGAGTTTAAGGAAGGGTCTCTGATTCTCAAGAAACACCACTCTATGCTGGGCCAAGGTGTCATTGTAACACCAGCAAGAGGATGCATGTCTCCCCAAAACATGCCTCCAAATGAGATCCACTATCACTTAACAGCACCCTTTAAAATACCTGCTTTTAATTTTACCTGGAAAGTGAGGTCTTGTGATTAGACTTTTTTATACCTAGCTTTCTTGTTTCCTTCCCTTCCTTGTTAAAGTCATCAAGTACCTTAACAAACATTTGGTAACTGGTGTCAGGGTTCCCACGGATGCCCTAATGAAATCATGAGCCTCGAGCCAAGCTTCAAAAGAAATCCAGTTATTTATTAGGAGCTCCATGTTGGCACGTTCCAAGTGAAGCCAACCGTGACCCCACGTAATTTATGGCCGAGACTTGACCCTGTTTCCCCCCTCCCCCCAGGGTGTGTCATCAGTCACATTCACCAACAGAGCATTTTTGCAGGTTGTAGAGATCACTCCCCTCCAGCCGCTGTGGGTAACCCTGGAAGACAGCCTTGAGAGAGATATGTCTGGAATGTGGTTTTGTTTTGGGCTGCCGTGTTGCTTCACCGTTTTCCCATCCCCCTTATCTATGGCAACTCGAGAGCAGGCCAGGGATGCTTTGTGAGTTGACATTTGGTCTGCACCTCCTCTCTCTCACTCATCCAAGATCCCATTTTAAAATGAAATAATCCCTTTAAATGATTCAGTTATAGGTCACCCCTCAATCCGAAGGACAATATTAGAGGTAACACTCAACCCTAAATGCATTTCCATGCATAGGAGTTCATTGACATTAATGGGGCCATTTCCAAATCAAAATATTTAAAAACCAGGTTCTTGTATCAAACGATTAAAGGAGTATTGTGCTGCTGGGCACTTTTTCTATCCAACAACTTTTACTTATTATGCGGGCCACACACATCCCTATTTAAAGATGCCATAAACAGTTTCCTTTGAGCCAATTAATGGAGAGGAAAATGGCTTTTCACTTCAGTAGTCCCAAAGTACTCCAGCCACTTAAGATTCAGCCATGAAGCCTGCTTCATTTCATTAATAGGCACACACACTTCCATTTGTACTACATGCTAATGGTTTAGTTCTAAGAGCCATTGCAGCACACTAATCAAAAGGGAAGGGAAGGACTATGCAAATCAAAGAAGGACGTCACAACAAGGATGAAAAGGCTATGCAAAATAAATCACAGCATTGCAAGGGTTTTGGGGGGGGGGGGGGTTGCACCTATGCAAATGAAGGCATGGTATCAGAGGAGTTACAAATGGGCTATGCCCATGAAAGCATGACATCAGAGCACCAAGAGATTTTTGTACACCTGTCAGATGAGGCAGAACCATCTCTACACTCATCTCTTGGCTCATTGGCCACAGTTGACAGAGCAAGGAACGAATGAATTATTTACCAGCATATAGGAACCTGTAGAAATTTTTTTTCAGATGATCTACTACCTCATTAAATTGTATCATATGGAAGGTAAGTCTTAAGGTGCTTTCTTAAATTACATTTCTGACTCAGACTCAAGTTTCCTTTGGCTGACTATTGTCTTGATTGTGGTTTGTCCTCCATCTCCTTAAGGTTACTCTTACAGGCTGGTACTATTAGATTGGTGTAATTTTCCATGGAAGAGACATATAACATCTGGTCTGATCTATTGCTGGCTCTTTCTTCAGTATGTATTTACATTGGGTTTACATAAAGCTTAGAGTGAAGTCAAGCATACAATAAATTCTTTGACTGTGATGTACCAAGTGATAAACTACCATTGCCTTCCTCCCCTACAACAATTTCAAGGACCCACATTTCATTATCTGCAAACATAGGTATCCTTACTTAGTGGTCATAGTTGAGACCGACAATTCCATTGCTAAGCAATACTATCACTAAGGAAACATCATGAGACTATGACACTTAATGTCCTCACTTTTGCGATGGTCATTAACCAAGACCTCATATGACTGCCACTTAATGATGTTACTACCAGCTTCTCCAATGACTCTACTTGTCAAAAGCTAATTGTGAAGCACAATGTTCTTCAGTGGCCATAGGATCCCGGCATGGTCATAAATGCTCACAGGCTGTGAAGCAACCAAATGTTGATATATGACCACGAGGTTATTATGACAGTCGTAAATACAAAGACAAGTCATAATGTTTGTTTATCAATGTGGTCGTAACTTTGGTTATTAAAGGAGGCAATCCTTAAGCGAGGTCTACCTACACTGGAGCTCCAACATAGGGAGGCACACACACTGGAATATTTATGTGCTTTAGTCTCAGTGACATTGTCAGCCTACCAGGTAAACTGGAGAAGAAATAAACTCCACCAGAAGAGTAAAATTGAGATTGCCTATAAAACCAAACCTTGCAAATCTGATTGTTCTGTGCATTCTGCTTCTTATAGTTCAATGAATCAGCAAAGTGTCTCTTCTGAAGGATATCTGGACATTCTGGCCTTTAAAAATACAATTTGTGGCAACTGTACCTGAGTGACTGAGAATCTTCACTGACATATTGCCACACACTTTAGGGAAGAAACCCTGGGTGGGCTTCAAAATGTTAGCAAGAGGTTCTCTGCACGGTTGCTGGGTGGAGGTGGCCATTGTGGATGTGGCCTAGTCAGCATCCTGCACCACGATGGGGGAGGGGGGGTTGCCCTCCCCGGACTCCAGAGGCTTTCCTTAAGCTTCTGGGAGAGCGAAAACAGCCTCCCCAGGCTCCGGAGGCCCTCTGGAGGCCAGAAACGGGCCCAAACTTCCCAAACTTCCGGTAGGCCCATTTTTTGCCCTCCTCGAGCCTCTGCTTGCACCCTGCAATTACCTGCATTCAGAATTGGCCATGTGGGGACTCCTAGGAGGGGCAGGGTGGGAGGGGCTGGGACAGTCAGGAGTGGGATTTGGGGGTTCTTTGAACTGCACAGAATCTTAGCTAGAGGTTCTCCCGAACCCCTGCAAACCCCCAGCAGTCCACCCCGGAAGAAACCCTGAGGTTGGCACGGAAATACCCCTATGAATTTTAGGAGTTGGTAATTCCAGTGACTCTCTTGCCTACTCAGATTCCCCTAATGAACTTGCTTGGATCGAAGAAGCTGCTGGGATGGGCAGCAAAACATCTCAAACCAACAAGAAAATAAGTCCAGTTACTTATTAAACTTGCAGAGAATTCTAGAGCTAAAATTCAGTTTTCTGCTGTCATTGCTTTAAGACTAATTCAGATCCGACCTGACATGTGTTTTATGCAAAATGGTTTTACAAGTTGGTGCAAAACTATTGATTTTATTTTTATAGTTTCACAGCTGCCCCTTATATTCATTCTGCCCTATTTTCACCCCATTGTCTCACAAGGAATGTTGTAAAGTTGTCTTGTGTTGGGTCGGTGGTAAAACACTTTCACTGACATTTTAGCTGAGCCTTCCATCTTGTGCTAATAAGTATTATCCCAGCTGTACTTCATACATTCCAAGCTGCAAATGGAAAAGATCTCTCCTTATTAGATCAACAGTAATGCAATAAAAAGTTCTAATAAATCCCATGTACATCTATCCAACATTGCTAATTCAGAAGGAAAATGGATAACTTGTCTCATTTGTTGAATGGGCAGGTAAATTGCAAATTAGTCATAATGGATATTTTCCCCCCTCTTGATTTACAGTTGAAGATAATAGCCAGTCTCAGAAGAAGAAAATTACAGTGGAAGATCTATTCAGCGAAGATTTCAAAATTCATGACCCAGAGGCTAAATGGATAAGTGGTAAGTCTTGCAATCACGTATAAAAATAACTTCCTACACCATTTGTTTCAAGCACTTCTCTTGCCTGGAGTGTTTCATTGTATTATTCAGCTGAGCAAAATTTTATAAAGAGATTCTGTATGAGTCAAACCTTTTTATCCAGTGAGCATAGTGATGCCGCAACTGGCAACATCTTTGCAATATTATGAAGCACAAGTATCCCTTTGGGCTTTATAAATAAGATGTCGCTAAGAGCTGAACTAGAAAACTTTATTTTTTTAAACAAAAAATAAGTTATGTCTCCATAAAAATAGGGGGAGGGGAAAGGAAGTATTCTAGAGTAATACATTGAAAATGAAATATTCCATGGATTAGTAGAAGCTAAACATCAGTATAGTGAAACTAAGAAGTGTAAAAGCTTTTTATCTAGGTTTAACTACAAAATGACGACGCAAATAAAAAGGTTTTAATCTGTTGTCAAAAAGAGTATTATAATCAGGGTATGTCTCAGAGGAACGCATACCAAAGTAAGGGTGTTAGCATTGCCAGAAAGATTTTTTTTCCCCATATGGAGAAAATAACTTTACAAATAAGAATATACAGAAGCTGCTTTTGATTTGTTGATGGAGCTGTTTTGGGACTTAAGCTGCTGGATGGATAGTTGTGAAGATAAAACAAGAAAAGTACCCAGAATTCCTCACAAGAAGGACAGGAGGCACAAAGTGGATAAAATGAGACAGAATGAGAGACAGATTTGGAATATAGAATCTCCTCTTCCTTGTTCTCCTTCCTTCCTCCCCTCCCTCTTCCTCCTCTCTCTCCCGCTCCCTCCTCCTCCCTTTGATGACATATTCTGAGTTTCTGCCTTCCCAGCCTGTAGATTTGCTTTGCCTGTGATTCCAGGTTTCTGTACCCAACATTTTTTAAAAATCCAGCCCTCTCTGGCCCACCGTGTTTTCCATGAGTTAATCTTGCATTGTTCAAACCTGTAACAAAAATATAATTCGGCACATTACAATTTATATCTGCTTCCCATCATATCAACACCAAGGATGCCCAAATGGAACATTTGACTCCTGTTTTTTTAAATGGCTCTAAAATCTTCAGATGAGAAGCGTGCCAAATGTTTTTTAATTTCACCTATATAATCCTCACTTAGGAGTGTAACATCTTGTTACTCATATATTCTGTTGCTTAATATTTATTTAGCGGTAAAGCCTCGAGAGGAAGTAAAACGAAAGCACTGTTAACCAGCTGCTCTCTTACAATTTTAGAACCAAGTCTGGGGAGTGTGAGCAGATGTTCCAGTCACCACAAGGATAAACACACAGATAGTCCTCAATTTATGACCACAAATGAAAATTTCTGTGGCTAAGCAAGGCAGTTGTTAAATGAGTTTTGCTTCATTTTATGATCTTTTGCCAAAGTTGTTAAGTGAACCTGGCTTCCCCATTGACTTTGTCATAAGTCTTTGAAGAAGGTGATCACATGATCCCAGGACACTGCAACCATCATAAATATATGTCAGTTGCCAAGCATCACATGATCACATGATGCTGCAAAGGTTGTGCGAAGACCAGTCATAAGTCACTTTTTTCAGTGCTGTTGTAACTTTGAATGTCACTAAATAAATGCATGTAAGTCGAGGACTAGCTGTATAGCACAATTAATTTAATAAAAAGATACTATTATTGAAATAGCTAGATTTATTCTTACGGTGGACAGTCAGGCATTCTTCTCAGTCAGAGTATGGAAATTACTTGAAGTAGTACCTGAGTGACTACAAACTTCATGACCTCACTTCAACAGACAGCAGCTAGAAGGTCCATCATACATCTGTGTTTATTTAGATATAAATCCCATGGACATGACCCCTAGTAAGTGCAGGGATTTCACATCAATCTCTGTTAGTGTACTGAGATTTTGGGACCAAATTGTGTGGTGTGTAGATTACCATGTAACTATTCAAAATCTTGGGTGCAATAATGAATAGTTTAAAATGATCATGCTGTGAGAGGGTTCCTGGATCTACTAACTATATTTCTTCTCAAAAGGCTTCATCAAACCACTTTTCTTTCCATCATTCTCCATTACAGTCCCTGCCTGTCAAGACCTACCCAGATGTAGACTAATTTTCCTTAGAGAATTAGGGATGCTGTCACTAATTTTAATCATGTAAATGTTTAAAAAGATGTTGAGACTCTAGAAAGAGTGCAGAGAAGAGCAACGAAGATGATTAGGGGACTGGAGGCTAAAACGTATGAAAAACGGTTGCAGGAACTTGGAATGTGTAGTCTAACGAAAAGAAGGACTAGGGGAGATATGATAGCAGTGTTCCAATATCTCAGGGGCTGCCACAAAGAGTTGGGAGTCAAGCTATTCTCCAAAGCACCTGAGGGCAAGACAAGAAGCAACAGGTGGAAACTAATCAAGGAGAGAAGCAACATAGAACTAAGGAGAAATTTCCTGACAGTTAGAACAATTAATCAGTGGAAGAACTTGCCTCCAAAAAAGTTGCAAATGCTCCAACACTCGAAGTTTTTAAGAAGATGTTGGATAACTGCCGTCCAACATGTGCCGTCGGCCAAACAATGCCGACTGGCGACACCCAGGGGGAGAGCCTTCTCTGTGGGGGAACCAGCTCTCTGGAATGAGCTCCCCCTAGAGGTTCGTACGATCCCTGACCTGCGTACCTTTCGCCGTGCCCTGAAGACCCTTCTGTTCCAACAAGCTGGGCTGGCCTAATATGAATTTTATAATGGGTGTATATTAGTTTTTTAATTTGTGGGCCAAATTTTTATATATTCGATTTTAAATTGTTTTTAAATTTGGTAAATTTATATGTGTTTTAATATGGCTGTACACCACCCTGAGTCCTTCGGGAGAAGGGCGGTATAGAAGTCCAATAAACATAAACATAAACACAAACATAAACATAGCTATTTGTCTGAAGTGGTGTAGGGTTTTCTGCCTAAGTATGGGGTTGGACTAGAAGACCTCCAAGGTCCCTTCCAACTCTGTTATTCTATTCTAAAAGTGAATAAAAGTATATTTGAGGGCCTGGTACATTTTTGGGACTGTGGGAGTGGAGATAACTAGAGCCAGTTTAGTGTTGTGGTAAAAATGTTTGCCTAGAAACCTTGAGGCTCAGAGGTAGGAAAGCCAATTTGGTGACCTTGGGCCAGTCACTCTCTCTTGCCCAACTCACCTCATAGGTGGTGGTTGTGAGGAAAATAGGAGATGACGTATTATGTATGCTCGTCATGTTGGGTTTCTTATAAAGTAATAAAGGTAGGATAAGAATCTAATAAATATAAAGGCAGGATAAAAATCTAATGAATATATATAAATTAAAGCCTTGGATCTTCTGGCACACAAGACTGCCAGAATTATGAAGAAATTTCCACATACAAGGTGGATCAAGACTCTGGTAAGACTGGAATTTCCAGAACTGCTATAAAGACACCTGGTTGATGCCTACATTGGATACCAGTTTAACATTTTCTTCGTTCAGCACTGCTGATATTGGACAGCTCCCTATCAATTGAAGCCTTTGGGTCCTACAAGGGTACTACTTGCAGGAAGAGTGGGAAATTGGGGCCCCATAGCAATGGGAACTAAAATTGCAAATACTGTTCCTGGCTTTTACTTTTGTAAAGGAAAACATCTTTATAAGCTATAAACCCAAGAGACCATGGATAAATGCTCGGTTCTATCTATTCCTTCTGTCATCTTGGTTTCCGTCTCAAATGCTTCCTTTTCATTAAGCCATGCTAGAGGTAAAGAAGTTGCCCAGGGCCCCATATAATGTATGTTTTTTATTCTTGTTTTTGGCTGAAAAGAATCGAGCTGTGTGTCTCATTAACAGGTTGAAAAGACTGAAGGTTGATCTGGCACTGAAAAAGATCTATAGTGAGCTGTCATTGGGAGAGCTGTTACATAAATGTCAGACGGCTTCGGAGCTGAATGGCTTAGCCTTTTGCTGCTGCTTTCTATTAGGATGTGTCCGATTCTCAGTTATTTTTTGTGTAAAAGCTCAGAAGATCTCTGTTGTATAACTTAGCATTCTTTCCAGTCTATGAGTCCTGAATTACAGAGATGGGCATCTTGCCGAAAGAAATAAATTAAATGCCACCATGTTCATCCGAGGTCATCAGAACAATTCTGTAGCCTTAATTAAGACTTGAATAACCCCTGTGGGGCTGACAAATGTGGTTATTATACTCATTTTACAGCTGGGTAAACAACAAAACAGAATGATGTCTTTAAGGTCATCAGCAAAGCAGTGTAGAGTTGGGAATATAATACAGTGCACCATTTTGATAGACACTATTATAAACCACTTTCATCTTTATTACAGTAATGGCCAAAATTGTTGAAACCTTTTGGGGAAAGTGTATTTTTGAGGTTTGATGGCTAATAACACCATTTTTATTTTTTTTTGGAGGTTCGAGATAATCATATTTCACTGTTGGAATGGCCTAGGAATAGCCCAGACCTTAACCCAATTGAAAATCTATGGAGCTGACTAAAGAAATATGTTAATCAGAAGTGACCCAGCAATAAAACCCAGTTAATAGAAGCAATCATTCAATCTTGGTTTCACATTATAACAGCTGCAGAACTAAAAGACTTGGTTCACTCTAGTGGTGAAACCCAATTTTTTTTACTACTGGTTCTGTGGCTTGGTGGGCATGCCTTGGTGGGTGTGGCAGGGGAAGGATACTGCAAAATCTCCATTCCCACCCCTCTCTGGGGCAAGCCAGAGGTTTGCCAGTTCTCCAAACTACTCAAAATTTCCGCTACCATTTCTCCAGAACCGGTCAGAACCTGCTGGATTTCACTTCTGGTTCACTAAAGGGTACCCAACTAAGTATTAATTGATGTGATAAGTTTTGTATATCTCATTTTTTCTATGTACTTCACTTTTCTTCTTTATACTGTAACTGCTATTCTAATAGCAAATCCTTCATAAAAGTTATTGCATTACATTCTTGATTACATTGTCTTTCCATTGATAT